AAGTGCAGGTATGCAGAAAATAGAAAAGAACACGTTGGGTGCATAATCCGGAGTTCCATAGCTTTTTTTGTTTTTATTTTAAGAAGACAGTGCTCCATACAGAAGTAGAGCTTTATTATAATATTTTTGTTTAAAAATATGCGAAGGATTCATATTTTTTAAACAAAAAAATATTATATATATATATATATATATATATATATATATATATATATATATATTAATTATATATATATTATATATATATTAATAAATAATGTATAGATGGCGACTCGTATTCGAGGATACCCGCCAAGGACGGCTAGTCAATCCCTATTGCAGACGCTTGCTCAGGCGCATTTGTGTTTATTCAACACCCACAAAGCCCAATTGTAGTTTATACTGCAGCCACGCTTTCTTAATTTTCGTTTTCTGGGAAATAGCTTGCTATCTAGCGTAATCAACAATTTGAACAAGGCCAGTACGCAATGCTTGGGTCTGATAATATCTGGAAATTCCCTTCCTGACAAATCGACCATGGTGAGATCCGAACCAACCGGCCAAATGCCCATATATCGCATATACATATATTGTATACTTATATACATATATTATATACTTACATAAGACTGACGTAATATATATATATATATATATATATATATATATATATATATATATATATATATATATATAAAATTGATTTAAAATATGTTTTTCGCTACACAGTTCTAACCATGTTTCAAAAATGGAAACTAAAAAGCTTCGAATTTAATTTTGTAATTAAATTAAAGATATTAGTTCCATTTCATCCTCAAGCAATTTTTATAAGATTACTACTAATATATATATATATACATATATATTATTAGTAATCTTATAAGTATAAGAAATTATACTCGTTCGGAAAAAACTTCGGTGTCTTGATTTGCAAATAATCAAACCAATACCAAAGGGAAAAAAAGGTATAAAAAAAGAAAGAACCAAGAACATGTACGTTAGCCGAAAATAATCGTCTAGCATGCAAGTCCGAAGCCCAAAGACAAAAAATTTGGTAGAATTCTGAGTTTCATGTGCATACGGACTGAAAACTGACTGTTGTAAAATTTAAATATTATTATTTATAACCTACTCTAAAGTGGACTAGTTCATTGATAATTTTTAACAAATAATATATATATATATATGTATATATATATATGTTTGTGTGTATGTGTAAAATTGATTAAATACAAAAACACAGAGATTTAAAAAAATACATTTGTCTACACCCAATTACAGACATATCAATATATGTATTTATTGCCATACAACAAGTGTAAGCAAATATACAAACACATACATATCCAATTTCAAAGTATTAAAAAAACACACATATATATATATATATACATATATCTATACACATATTAGTGGTAGGCATCCGTTTATCGTGCGAGATGAAGGTACTGCTCTGTTTGGTTATGGTAAGACTTGAGTGACCTCTCCCGAGCTCAAACCTCGGCGATTGTATATGCTGGCCGTGCGTTGCCCGTTTACCTGCTCCACCTCTTGGCCGGAAGACAGGGCATTATATTTTGGGGCCGTCTTGGCTGCGGATGTTGCCGGAAAGTTGTCAATGTTGAAAGCCAACCGCCTTCGGGGCTCAATTCCGGGTTTACTATCTTGATTGACTTCTATAGTTTTTTCTGTGCTTAGTTGAATATGACCACAAGGCCGGGGAGGTTTAAAATCAGGGCTTTCATTGCACTAGATGGACTGACTGCCTGGATTAACTAGCTCGATCCGCTCGAAGCAGGTGGTTATGAGGCGCCAGATATCCGCCTTCGCCCATTCTCCGGCTTAGAGCTGGACTTGGACTTATCAGAGGCTATTTAAGATGCATCACACGGAAGCATTTTACAGACAATGGAAGCTTGGCCTCGCTATCAACCCCGGCTATGATAACCTTTTGGAACTTATATATTGTACGTATATAAACATTATACACATTGCGTGTTTTAGAAGGTCCTACAAAGTTTAACTTTTTTTTAATACATAAACCGTTAGGGGAATGAAAACACAAAAAAGCAAGACAAATTACAAAATAGTCGTTCATAAAATAAACACAAAAATAAAAAAATGTTGCAAATTTTGGAAATATATATCATGATTTAAGACTAAAATACTCAGATATCTACTATCTTTTTCCAAAATTAAATATTATGAACTCATTAGTTAAAATACAATAAATAGGCTACATTTTTTACTATACTAACACCTTAGGCGACGGAGATATGGTTCTACAGAAGGATGCTGAGGATACCATGGACCGAACGTGTGAGCAACGATGAGATCTTGGAGAGAATGAAAAGAGGAGGGTTATACTTAACATCAGGAAGAGGCAACTCATTTTTCTCGGACACGTAATGAGAAAGGTGGGCCTGGAGAATCTGAGACTCACGGGTCGAATAGAAGGGAAAGACAGACAGGGGAAAGCAACATATGACATACCTGGCGGGCTTAAGCAAGTGCATGACAG